AAATGTGCTCGTTTCTACATCCGGTTACACAATAATCGATCATTATTCCGATCGAGGAACATCTTCCAACCAATGGAAACCATTCGATCGATATTTAAACGCGCAAATTCAAATTCAAATTCGTTGTAAAATCAAGTGAAAAGGGAATAGGATATTTTTTTTTTGAAAAGTTACCTGTTATTATCCAATTTGCAACATTGTAAACAGTAAGAGCGAATGATAATAAGAGCCTATTTTAAGAATGATTTAATTGCACGATTTCATGTGATTCTGGATTTCAATGTCATGTTGCTAATTTAAAATATCGAAGAAGATAATTTGGAATGTGAAATAGATTAGTAAATGACGAAGAGTCACTGATTAAGAGTCAATTTACAAATAAAATGATTAATCGTAGATATTCGATGAAAATTTTGAAAAACAAACATATATTTGTTTCAATTTTGTAAAAAAAATAATTTTAACTTTGCATTATTTTTTAATCTTATCTTAAAGTATAATAGTTTATTACTCTCTCTACAATTTGATGCAAAATTTTATTCGTTCCCAATTGCAATAATTTTTTATTATGTTATTTCTTCTACATTTTCGTACAACAACAACAACAAAAAATAAAGAAACAAAATTAACGTTCGACTTGCTACTCCAATTATCGCAATCGATTATCCACGAAATTAAGTTCCACGCACCGTGTTCCACTTGCATTGATTAATCAGTGAATAAGGATTCTAATTGATTTCTCGGGATATAGTATAAAATAAATATAGTATAAAAAAAAAATAGTTGCACGGAAACGGATCGTGAATAGGGATCGTAACTGATTCCTCAGGAATAAAAAAAAAAAAAGAAAAAGAAAAAAGTTGCGCGGAAACGATCGTGAAGCCGCGTTAAAAGCAACGATTTCATCGACCGCGAGAGCTACGCGTCCCGGACACACTTAAACCTCGCGTGAACGACCGGGGAAAGCCGGCTTCGATGTACCGTGTAGCCATACAAAATGTATCGTCGAAGAACATTGGAACGACAACAATGGAATGACGAAGCTATCGATCCACTTATTATATGATCCTAAATGACTGTAATTAAATGTTAAACCGAGCCTAACCAAAAAACCGGTTGATTTAAACAGTTTCGTTCTCAGTTTGTTCGATCTTCCTCGATACTTGACCAAGCGTTTGATCGGTTTTTGCTATCGAAGCGGATACTTTCTTTCCTTTTTCTCAGATTCAACAGAGGAATTTAGAAGGGAAGAATTTTATCGAAAACGAAAATCGCAGACGAGCATGTTATGAATCACGATTAAACGATGCCCGTCATCGTGCATGAATATTCCGTGTATACGCGTAACGATCAACACGCTTATATTTTCTGAATGTTACATAGACACGCCCATCTCGCGTTTGCTACTTTAACTTCACATTGATTATTTTTTTTCCCCCCCCCGTTTCTTCTCTTTATCCTATTCTTATTTTCATCGTCCCTCCATCCCTTCCCCTCTCATCTCTTTTTTTTTTACGCCTATTATTATGCATCTTGTATTTTAATCCTCCTATTATATTTCTTTCACTACACTCTCTTAGAATAATCTCAATTATTCCCCTCCCCCCCCCTCCCTTCGTTTCAACTTTCTCGTCTTTTTTCCTTCCCTCTCGCCACAACCACTACTACTACTTCATCGTTTGAACGAGCGCGGAAAGAAACAGATAAAACCATTGAGCTGATTTCGAATTCTTTGCCGCGACAACGAAATCGTATTACATTCATTAAACGGCTGCGAGCCGTGCTAAGAGCGCAAAAACAGCCGGGTGGGATGCGTATCGAGAGAGGAGGAGGGTCGTCACGAGTCGATTCTAACAGACCAGTGGAAGTAGACGAACCTTCTAACCGCGGTTTGTTGCAAGAAGCCCGTGGTAGTTGCAATTGCAAACGGCGCCATTCCCCCTCTGCCTGCGGCTCCTATTTCCAAATTTCCACTTCTACGCGCCTAGCCAGCGATGGCGTCCAACTTTTCTGAAACTTTCGTATCACGAACACGTTTGATACGACGCGTAATATCTCTGATTCACGAAGCATATCTTCACGGAGGCGTGCCCTACGCGTAGGAGGAACGAACCTTTAACCTATCGCGTATACGTAGGTGTCTCGAGTGCTCTATTCGCGTACAATATTATTATTTCCCTTTATTTATAGCATGGAAATTGAGTCAATTAGAGTAATCCGCTCGTTGCGTATCCCGAGTGAATATCGATGACCAACCGTAGGAGTAGGCAACAACCTACCTAAAGTTCGTCTCTTCTCGTACGAATGAACCGAAACACGACCACCCAAAGTGTCGTTTACTCGGTTGCTCTCTACTACCGATACTACAAACTCTCCCCACCCTTTCGCTCGTCACAACTATCACACCTCCTTATTCCTCCACGTACGAAGAAGATCGTAACCGCGATAACAATCGACAGAGTGTTCTCGAATGTATCGATAAGTCGACGCGAGGGTATTGGTCCCATCACTAGCGGCGCTCGTGTCAGGCTAGAGCTCTTATCCTGGGGTGGGGATTGGGCGCAGAACCGGCGTCTGTAATGGTGACTACGTTGGCTGGCACGCTAACGTAGGGGTTAGGGGGGGTGGGGAGGAGGAGGAGGTGGACGAGGGGGTGCACCGCAAGCTCGAAAGTTGGGAAAAAGCCAAGGAAGGGGTTGTGCTTGGAGCGGAGATCCGTTCGAGGGCGCAAGCTCGAGGTCGTCCCTGTATCCTCCCACTCTGGGACGCGATAGGTGGAGCTTCCCTGGCCGCCAATACATGTCCCGGACCCGCGTACGCTACGTGCGTAACCCCAGTCAGTCCTTCCACGTCCGAAAACGCGCGCTCTACGCACCCGATGCGAGTGAGCCTGGCGCGGGCTCTCCCTGCTCTCTCTGCCGCGCCGCGCTGCGCCCAGCGTAGCTGAACAGGTTAAGCCCTTTCCCCCGCGACGTGCTCCACGAATTCCATTGAATTATGGCCAATCGCTCTTTGCCCCAGCACGATCGCCTCGTCGGAAAACAGAGAGATTCCGGTCAAGTTTGCGTCTCTCGGTTTACAATAATTTCGTCAGGTTATCCGCGAGCGTATGCACGCAAGGTGGCGTTACTTCCTCTGCGCTAATTTTGGACGTGCATGCCACGCTGCCTCGTATCGCGATCGGTTCCTTTTTTGACGAATGGATAGGATTACTACGATTTCGAGAAGCTGTTTGGGATAATCGGTGGAGCAATCAGCGAGAGTGTATTTTGGAAGATAAATCGGGAACCGGCCAGTGAAAATCTTCGATCTCGAATCGAAGATGTGAAAACGGCAGAAAGTCGATTTTCGTTCGTTCTCGGAAAGAGATGTGTGTGCGTGTATATGTAACGAAAATACGCAACGTGTGCGATGTATACGTCACGTAGATGCGTTAATAAATGATACCGTGACATCGGTGAGAAATAATTCGCCGTGGTGAAAGCGTGGAAAATATACGTGCAATGTCAATACACATTTGCATCATTACATTTTTATTACCAAGTACACAACATTCTCTTCGAAATATTTTTAACCATTTTATTTATCGTGAAACGGTTATGATCGGTAACAGCTGTATGCAAATTGTATAAATACTGTGCTCTCGGTGGATCGTGTGTTTCTAAATCTAATCTACGATTAGATTTTCACTTTCCATTCGCTTCGTTATTGCGCAAAGGGATGCAATTATCGAAAAATTATCATTGCTGCAATGCTGCGATCGGGCATGCATCGTGCACGAGTCTACATTCCAATACGTGCGAAGCTTTCTTCCTGTCCATCCTTGGTATTCCTTAGACAATCGAACGAAGCAATTAAGGATGCATCGTGTGAATGAACTCTGACATGACCACACCGATGGCATTTTAATTGATTGCTCGTCGCGCAATCGTTTTTATTTTCTCTTAGCTTTGATTTTTATACGCCGCGAAAATCCAACGAAATCTTCCTAATCGATGAATTTCCCACATTTCTTATTCGTTGCATGGATCGTTTAAAGTCATAATTCGACGAATTCTGTGATCAAGATTCTGCATGTTATCGATTTTCATATCTCATTTCACGAACAGGATGCGTCGGATGTTTGCATTAAAACGTTACTAATTAAAACGAAAAGTTTTTATTTCCTTTCGTTTACCAAGTAAAATTTCTGTACACAAGAAAGCGCAATTTGTTCGCTCGGAGAGACCGTCATTGTGTGACAACGCGAAATTCCTAGTTTCTTTTTCAATTTTATTGCGTATCGAGCGGATAAATACACAGAGTTATAAAGAGAAAAGTGAGAGACTCGTGAACAATTCGACAGACTCGCTCCGAAGGAAGATGTTTGTTGCCCGTTAATAGAAAGTATGTATCGACGCATTTCATGGGCTCTGCCGAGGTCGGCTGTAGTGGATTTCTTTCAAACCCGCAAGTAGGCACGGGAAAGGTGTGCCCGATGGCGAATTTCTGCTCAGTCGGCGTTGCCTCGGTCAGTAGTCAACACGTTCTCCTTCGCTCACGTTGTCCCAAGTTTTCTTCCACCGATCGACTCGAGTGTCGCTACAACTTCGTTCTGGTTTGTCTCTTCTCGCCATCGCTTTATACGCATATTTTATATGTTCCTCGTGAATCCCTCGTTCTCCATTTTTCGATTCTTTTAAACGCTATCGAAATCCAAAATATCTTACACACCAACTTAATTTTCCAACTCACTTCTATCGATATTTAATTACAATTACAAGCTAAAGTAAATAATTCTCGAAGAGCAGGACGGATACCTTAAATCCTTTGTCCGAGACCACGTTTGTCGTTTCACAAAGATTTTCTGGCCGCGACAGCTCGAGGCACGCGCGAGCGGGAGAAAGAGCGAGGGGGGAAAAAAAAAGAGCAAGAAACCCCTTCCCCCCACCCCTCCCTCGTCGTCGAGAAAACTGTCGCGAGGATCGGCGAGGTTTCACAGTGTTCCTTTCGAATTCCAGATCAAAAGTAAGTGCGCGCGTGTGGTTCGTGTGTGTACATACATGTGCCATCATCCGCCGCGTGAGCGATAAGCGGGAGAGAAGAGGACCCGGGCCAACAGAAGCCGGAACCAAAAAATGGATGCGACGTCACTGCGACTCATTTCCGGACTGCTTTTGTTCGCCTATACCGCCTCACACTTCAGTAAGTCAATTTTGCTCAATATTGTTCCCTTTTTTTCCCCCTGCATGCGTTTGAGCACGCGGCTACCCTTTTTCTTGAAAGCGAAACCGATCCGGGAGAGACGGTTCGAGCTTTCGATCGTTGTTGTTTTAATAAAAGAAATCTAAAAGAAACTCGGCTTGGACAAGAGGGGGATTTAAAGAGAAATTTGACCATCCTCTGATTAACGAAATTTTGTTTTGCGAAGTTATAAACAAATATTGATGATTTGACAATTTTGAAATTTAATTATACGCGTTGATTCGAGGCTGTTGAACGCACGACTTTCGTATTTTATTATAACGCTTTAACATTCGAATTTCAATAGGGTTTTTCTTTCTTTAAAGTTTGCCACGAGTATGACAAATAGCAGATATAAAGAAAGATTCGTTCATTCTCAATCATAACGCAATTTAATTAATTACGATGCATCGTAACATAACGTGATTTTAATTGTAACAATTTTAATCTTGTTTCTCCATGGATACACATCGCATTTATCGAATCAAATTTTAATTAATATTGTTGTACACGTATAAAGTTACAAACTTTATTGAATATCTTATTAAGAATTCGGTTATTTTTATCTGCGGCGATCTCGAATAATTTCATAATTCCTTCTAGTGTCTGGATATATTGCAGGCGAAAAGTAATTTTTAGAAATGAATTATTACCACGATAATAATTTTACGCCATTCTTCCGGTGCAACAAACTAGAACGTTTGGCTACGTAACACGTGTTCATATCGCGACCGCGTTATTCGAGTCGTGACTGCGGTTCGATATTCGATTCCTGTTCCCGTTTAAAAAAGCATTTCGATTTCCCCGCCGTTTAATCGACGTCGCCGATTGGGCAACCGATCTTAGGCGTTCGGCCCTCGTTAATTGTCGTTGATGAATAACGTCTCCGTATCCGAGGGCCAGAGGGCGGTTATGGTAATTTGAAAACTTTGAGCGATTTAGGAGGTAAATTGCCAAGGGAAACGGGGACGGTGGACCAAGGCAGCGGTGGAAAGATGGCAGCAAATGCGTCGCCGTAATTGCATAATGGTCCTGGTGTGTTCTCGTCGAGATACGAAGCCCTGGCCTGGTTTTTACTTGAGGACTTTCACTCCGCATCACCGGCTCTTCCCTCTCCGTCTACACCTCGCCTCTATTCATCCCTCCCCTCCTCCTCGTGTTTCTGTTTCTCTCTTCCTTATTTTATTCCACGCTTCCTTTGTTATTCCCTCGCCGTTTCTATTTCCCCCTCCCCCCTCCCCCGCCCTTTTTTTTATCTTTGCACACTCCTCTTGTCGTTTCCTCTTCCCTTCCCTCGCCGTTCCTCAGTTTCTCGACACCGACGTTTAACCGTGACGTGACATTATTCCCCTTTTTTTTTTTATTTTGATCGCTAGAAGACCTTCGAATAGTAATTTCAATAATCGAGAATATAACAGATATCGAATATTGCAGTACTCAATGATTAATTAAATATATGCAACGTTATCTTTCTTCTTAAGGAATTTATATGTATTTGGTAAACATATAAATATGTAGGACAGAATTGAGAAAGACACCCGGTATATAAGAAATCGGCCGGGTTACCGAGGCATTAGTCGATTTCAAGTACGGAATATTGTTTCTGGAGATCCCGCCGCTCAAATTGCTAGCATTTAGCAGCTTATCTGGATTATCGTTTCCCCATGCACGGTTCGAGGGAGCGTTTTCCGTGGGACGTACGGGAACAGTTCGCGCTTTTCGAAATTCATCGTGTTTTTTTCTCTTCATATTTTTTTCTTTTTCTTCCCGTTCCGCCGTCAGGAGGAGGATTAAACGGTGGAAAGGATTAGAGATGTTCTTTTTATCTCTCTCTCTCTCTCTCTTTTTCCCCCTCTCCTCGATCCAGGATAATAACGGAAATAATTTCAACGTGGGAAATGTAAATTCAACGAGAAAAATTACACGGGATTCGAAGATAAACTCGGGGTCCGGTTTAATGAGTTGCGTTTAAAACGGTATCGAAGGGATATCGTTTTGTAGGCGTGCATCGATCCGCGCTGGGATCGTTAATTGATTACAGAGCGCAATATTTGCTCTATTTCTTTCCGTACAAGCACACGCGGATGAACGTTTAACGTTTGACCTAGTTCGCGGGATAATTTGAAAGGCTTCTCACGCGTACCAAGGTCAATCATGCCCTCTCGACAAAATAATAATTTCAATAATCGAGAATATAACAGATATCGAATATTGCAGTACTCAATGATTAATTAAATATATGCAACGTTATCTTTCTTCTTAAGGAATTTATATGTATTTGGTAAACATATAAATATGTAGGACAGAATTGAGAAAGACACCCGGTATATAAGAAATCGGCCGGGTTACCGAGGCATTAGTCGATTTCAAGTACGGAATATTGTTTCTGGAGATCCCGCCGCTCAAATTGCTAGCATTTAGCAGCTTATCTGGATTATCGTTTCCCCATGCACGGTTCGAGGGAGCGTTTTCCGTGGGACGTACGGGAACAGTTCGCGCTTTTCGAAATTCATCGTGTTTTTTTCTCTTCATATTTTTTTCTTTTTCTTCCCGTTCCGCCGTCAGGAGGAGGATTAAACGGTGGAAAGGATTAGAGATGTTCTTTTTATCTCTCTCTCTCTCTCTCTTTTTCCCCCTCTCCTCGATCCAGGATAATAACGGAAATAATTTCAACGTGGGAAATGTAAATTCAACGAGAAAAATTACACGGGATTCGAAGATAAACTCGGGGTCCGGTTTAATGAGTTGCGTTTAAAACGGTATCGAAGGGATATCGTTTTGTAGGCGTGCATCGATCCGCGCTGGGATCGTTAATTGATTACAGAGCGCAATATTTGCTCTATTTCTTTCCGTACAAGCACACGCGGATGAACGTTTAACGTTTGACCTAGTTCGCGGGATAATTTGAAAGGCTTCTCACGCGTACCAAGGTCAATCATGCCCTCTCGACAAAATTTTACCTTGGGATTAGAACCCGGTCGGATATTTATTCGTCGAGACGAGTTCTCGTAGTAGTAATTCGCTTGATGCGGATTTCCATGTGTGTTCTACGATGCCACAATCTTTACAGATTTATTACCCGCGTATAAATTGCTTTCGAAACGAAAAGTATTCCTCGTAATAATATTCCATCTAATAATATTAATCGTGTACAGTTAAAATCGTATCGTATAAACCGTATATATATATATATATATAATGAATATTCCCTTCGAAAAATTCTCGTTAACGATCAATTAGGTCTTCGCTCTTCTTGCTTCTTTCTTTCGCCGAACAGATAAGGTGTACCCGTAAATATGTCATACACTTTCGCAACGAGCTAAGGCAACGATTGCCCGCACCGTATAAAGCTTCGTTGCATAAGCACCGAACCGTATTATTTCACAAAGAAATTTTCTTTTCGTAATATATCGAGCGATAAGTAGTTGCGAAATCGCGACACGCAATCGCGACTTAAAAATTCGCAGTGATGAAAAACTGTAGGAACACCTGGTATATCGATATACATCGAGATAGAACAGAACGCGCACATGTAGCTTCCAATAAAGCTCGGCTCGAGTGCTCGATCGGCACTCGACGAATCGGACAATACCCTCATGGTACGTACGTCCATCTGAAATAACCCATAAGGTCTTTTGAGCGTATATCTGTACACGTATAGGGTAATGCCTCGTGGCACGGTTACGTGTATCCGTTATACAAGTAGTAGAAGCTACGTTTTTTATCTTCTTTGCCGGGGATTACTTCCGGGTCAGCAGCCAAGCTCGATTGTGTTCAATCCACAAGCTTACAGATTACCGGACATACTGAGAGCGCGGTAACGCGATGCGTATCACGTGTAATCCACCGATTTTTCCGACACACAATTTCCTTCACCTTCTTCATATTTCCGTCCTTTTTCTTCTACGAAAAGATTGGCTTACAGCGAGATAAGTCAGTAGACGAGTATATGATATTTTTCATCGTAAATCTATTCCGTATTCGTCGAGAATTATTTCGCATCGAATGCATCACGAGTGCAACTACTTCTTTTTCTTTTTATAAGTTTATTGGTATATTAAAATGTACGTTTGCTCGTAAAAAAATTCTATTTGACTATATGTATAACGATTTATTTTCAGATATCAGTGAGAATATATTAACGTCTAAATGAAAACGGTTCGGTAGAAAACGCGCGAGAAGATTCGAGGAGATGGAAACCGCGAACGAGAACAGGCATTCATCGGACGCGGTGATTGTGAGGTTATACGACCATTCGTTGCAAAAGTAATCGAGCAATTTTTTCTTTTTTTTTTTTATCTTGCTTTCCCGTGGGATTACTTCCGGTTCAACGAGTCTCGCTCAGTCGGGTTCAATCTCCGTACTCTGTGTCAGATTACAGAGTACTCGCCGTAGTAACATCTATAGTAACACGTGTGTAGTATGTAAACTCATGGTACGCATGCGCATCTACGGACCAGTCGCCCATATGCATAAAGGCGAGCGCATATACCGAAAAACGCATCGCGTTCGTGTGCGTTCGATGCATATCGGGGAAGCACGATCTTTTATTCCTTTTCTTCGAACAAAAATATCGCGTTTACGAATCCTTTGGATTTCGATGAGTTGTTATATGAGTGGAAAACGCAGTTTTGTAATATAACGATCGTGAAACGCTTATATAAGGCGATTCGCAATATTCGGAATATCGTATGAAGAATTACATTTCATTTTTTTTTGAGAATATACAGAGAGTATAACGATGTTTTAATTTTATTTCATAATTAACAATTATGTAAAATATAATATCAGAGGAAAAATTTAAGATAAATTAAAATAAATATATACCAAAAAAAATGAAATATTTCCATAAGTAAATATTATTTAGTATTAATATCTAGATTCGATGTAAATAAAATATCTATTTTCCATTCAATTGATAAAACGCAAAAAATATCAAAGATAACTGTATCCTATTTTTT